CCAGAATTTTCCAAGAGATGACTGGGCTTTCATCACAGTTTCATAAATCGGAGTGTCATAGAAAGGCTCTGAGCCACAGCCTCCTCTGTAAAACTCAGTGTAGGCATCAGCTCTCCTATGAAGATGGGTCAGAGAGACTGGCGGCATTCCTTTCTGTGTCTACCAGATGGTGGGGAACTGTAACAAATGACACTTCTTTATTATGATTCATTCAGGCCAACTGAGTTCCAGCGGCAAGGTGAGAATATCCTAGAGTCTGCCCACTCCAATACAAGCTTCTTCTTGCAAGTGAGCACCTGAGAAAGGTGCTGGACTTTCCAGACACAGCATTTGGTTATATCCCACTATAACAAAAGCTTTCCTTCATTCAGGTAGAAGCATTAAATTTTAAATTAGAATAACACTCAAGAGCAACATAGGAGTAACCAGGAGGTAAAAAGCTAAGCCATTCTATCCCCAAATAAAAATCACATTTTCCCAGGACAGATAGACCCTACAATGTTAGCTGCTCACTCCTTGATTAGTATACTCCCACCTGTATAATGCTAACTGGATGGTATTTTGCGCTGTGGAGCAATCCTTTTCTACACTATGAGTATGTATTAATCTCATTTGCTAATAAAAAGCTGATTGGTTGATAGGTGGGCAGGAAGAGATTGAGTGCCAGAGGCAGACTAGGAGAATTCTGGGCAGAGGAAGGGCAGAGTCAGAAAGTTGCGGGCAAACACAGAGAAGCAAGACGAGAATGCCATACTGAGAAAAGGTACCAAGCCACATGGCTAAACATAGATAAGAATTATGGATTAACTTAAGTGTAAGAGCTAGTTAGCAATAAGCCTGAGCTATATCACCCTAGCATTTATAATTAATATAAGCCTGTAGCAGGAATCTTAGAAGGTCTTATTAATAAAATCAAACCTGTGGCCAGTTATTGAGGTAAACACTGGAAGATCAGAGAGACAGAACAAGCCACAGCTAACCTCACCTGGCCAACTTCTCAGCTGATCTTGTTTCTTCAGACTGGAAGCCTCTGTGTCCTCATATCCGAATGGCTCTCAGCTAAACTGTGCTGCTCAAAACCTAAAAGCTTAACCAGCCAAATGCTTCTAGTTTCTGGTCTCCATGCCTTATATATCTTTTTGTTTTCTACCACCACTCCCTGGGATTAAAGGCTCGCTTTCTGGGATTAAAGCCATGAGTCACCACATTTGGCTGTTTCCTTGAACACATGGATTTCTGCCTCTGCAATGCTAGGATTAAAGGTGTGAGTGCCACCATTTTCTAGCCTTTGTATCTAGTGGCTGTTCTGTCTCTGACCCCAGATAAGTTTATTAGGGTGCACAATTTTTTGGGGAACACAATATCAATTGTGTGGTAATTTGGGAAGCGGCTGCTGAGTATTTGGGAACAGGCAGTCAGGACAGAAAATGTCCAATTACGGTCTTTCCCATTTTATTGAGAGAAGTTGCATTCTAGAACCATCCAGAGGAAAACAAGACTGGATTGTGTACAGTGTAGCAGATGTCCTAAAGCCTTGGCTTGATGTGTGAAGTGGTAATAATGTCTGGTTTGCTAGCTTGCTGTGAAGGTAAATGAGATAATGAGTAGATGATGGAGTCAGCATTATGCCTGGAATACACTGGGCGCTTGGAACATAGGATTCTTTCACATCTCTCCTTTTAAATATGAAGTAAGGCATACTAAGAAGATCGCTAATAGGCTGGCAAAAGTGACTCAGTGGGTAAAGGTGTTCGTTGCCAGACTTTATGATGTGAGATCAATCTCCAGGACCCATATGGTACAAAGAGAGAACTGACCCCTGCAAGTTGTCCACTGGTTTACACACACACACACACACACACACACACACACACACACACACACACAATGCATGAGCACATGCATGCACTTATCCTTCAAAAAACAAAACAAACAAAAAAATATAATTAAGAAAAAAAGGTTCATTGCTCTCCTATTAGAATTTCCTCAGGTAACTGAACTTCAAATCCAAGTATGAGTCCTATTTTTTTAAGTCCAGTACTAAAAGTCTTTGTGCTCCAGGTCAGCCAGGGGACCAACAGTGGAGGTACATTTGATTATAGGTCATTTGTCCACATGCACTTTGATTCTTTCAAAGCCTTTTTGAGACGCAGGAGGTCCTGTTAATTGCTGTTCCAGCACAGTGTGGCGCGGGAGCTGTGTGATAATTGGCCACAAGCCACTGAAAATGCATGAAGAATCTGAAAAGGCCCTTAGATGAGACTGACCTTCTGTAGAGGTGCAGCTGACAAGCACTGGTGTGGCCTGAAACGCCACCCCCAGGGAGTCAGTCCAGGAGATGACATCATTGCTGGGGTAAAGACCAACTTTAATAGCTGCTTGCATATTAACAAGAGTTTGCCAATTAACAGTGTCCCATTCCAGGCCCTTAAGCAGATCTTGCAGAAGCCTAATATACTAAACAACTGTGGTGCTAACCATGGCAGTAAGGTAAAGTGAGTCTGTATCATGTTTCTCTGTGGAGACAGGCCGGTTGAGTGTCTGATGAGCTAAGTTCCACAACAGCTTGTTTGAGCAGCGAAAAGGACGAGGTCAAGGGCAATTACACAACAGGGCTTCAGAGTTAGCACCTATCTCTTCCTGGTCTTCTCTCTTTCTTCCCTCCACCCACACAGACGTGCCCTTTAAATATTTACTTGCCCACCTTGGCTGTGTATGGCAGACTTTGTCTCAGAAGTCAGCTTGATCCCTTTGAAAGTGTTTGCTAATTAGATCCTCCTGGAAGTTGGGCAACTTTACATATGTTTATCCTGTGTGAAGCACTCCCTGGCCTCTTGCCCCCTAAACAGCCCCAGGGAGGTCAGCTGTGGGTTCCCTCACTTGATTTCTCTACTGGAGAAGTTCTAATAATTTCTCGGTTAAGTTGAATTACACACTGCTCCTTTTTCTACTACTAGCTTTAGACAGAGTTCTAGGTAGACATTAAGAGTGGCTGGAGTCAGAGAGCTGAGTGTTCTTAGAAATTCTAATGAAGTATCCGTTGTATACTGGGCCTAATGTGACACAGCCATAAGAAATTTACTTAGTGACACAGCATCCAGACCATGGGTATTGACTTGAGCATGATCTGGGCTTGAAAAGAAAACCGCTGCTGTGGTAATTCAAGTTCAATAGACCCACAGGTCACTGCCCTCAAATGTGTTAAGATAATATTTGTTGCAAAACACTCTAAGGACTGCACAAGCATGGGGTGTGAATGGTGTGTGCATGCTTGGGATGTGTGTGGATGATGTATGTGTGGTAGTGTGCATATTTCAATTGTAACATCTTTCCAAAAAAGTAAAAAGCACCAATGGGAGGACAGTGTTGTCTTGGGTCTTCAGGCAGCTTCAATCTCTAGTTCACACTCATTTCATTACCTTCTGTACCTTTGGTCACAGCAGCATGAGCTACCACACTGGCCTCAGATTGTTTTTTTAGTGAGAGAGAGAGAGAGAGAGAGAGAGAGAGAGAGAGAGAGAGAGATCAGTAATTAAGCAATATATAAAAAGGAGGAAAGGGAGACGGAAAAAGAGAAGGAGGTAAGAAGAAAGGAAGGATAAGAGAAGTATTGACAGGTAGACTGGAAGCTGTGGAGGCAAAAAGCAGTGTGGTCCCTCAGAATGAACACTCAGGACAGTATTGTTGAAGAAGACTTAAACTGGGAAGAAATTATAACCCAAGAGACTGCAGAAGTCCTTATGGGAACGTGATCTTAAGGATTCAAAAAAAAAAAAAACTGAGAAAAGACCAGCATGCTAGAAGGTGTCAGCAAGCAAAGGAGTGGTACCGGGAAATGTCAAAGAATGGGCAGCAACCTTGTCACATGGGGCTTTGTTGACTCAATAAGACTCAACTACCAGATGATGATTGAATGAATGAAAGCACAGGCCCGGGAGTGCTATGAGATTGTGTACATTAAGGTTTGCTGGGTTTATAGCAGAAGAGCATGTGAAATCCATTCTTGTTTGAGAAGTATTTCCTGCCAGAGAGAGGGTAGACCGGAGGAAGGGGCAGGACCATGCTTTTAGCCTTCTCCTGGCTCTCAGCTTTAAAAAACGGGGTCTTGGTGGGAGCAGCAAGTGCAGTATTACGTGAGCATGTGGAAAGAAAAGCCAAGGAGAATGTTAAGATGTTATATACCTTATACCCGGCTTAAAGAATTTGGAGCTGGATTGGTCCTCACAGTCTAGGAAGGACACAGACATAGAAGATAAATATTGCACAGTAGGGAACTGGAGAAAGCTATGTCAAGATGAGTATAAAAGAAGCCAGTTGGCAGTGAAGCACTGGAAAGGCTACGTACAACAGAGTACTCACAAGATGTACAGGCAAGAGAGGCAGGTACTATACAAAAGACCCATAAAGGTTCATGAAACTTATGGCTTGAGGTTTTGAGAGTATGCATTTCTTCAGCTGGCTAGCTCACTCCCATTTCCAAGAATGTCTTTCTAGCTCTTAATTAAACTATCTCTATCTTTGTTACTTCACCCTGTGTCCTTGATACAATTCTTTGTCCTGAGACTCAAGAACCTGGAGACTCCAGCAGGTGGCCTCTGAACTCAGATCCATGCCTGTAATAACTTGAGCTAGATCCCCAGGAATGAGGAGGACTAAGAGGTCAGTGGGAGCAGTACCTGGTTGAGTGCCAAGTGCCATGGTTTGAATGCAAGGCCAACACTTTAATGAGGCATTCAAACCTCCCCATGGCCTCTATTCTTTCTAATTCCTTTTCTATACACTCATGCATACAGTCCCACATTCACCCTCCCTGACTGTTGAAACACAACTGCAATGAACCACAAACCTTCCTCCAAATTCCTGGCAGCATAGTCACCATGAATGAAAGTGTGATTACTGCTGGAAAAACCATGAGCAACTTCCCAATAGCGGAGCAGCCCCATGCACAGAGAACTCCTCATTTCACAGCTTCAGCTTGCTTGCAAAAATGGCCCTTCCGTGAAACGGGAGTCTGAGACTTCAGTGATGCTGCTACTCCTAATGCTAATTTTAGACTCAGAAGTGTCCTCCTCAACTACTGCTGGGTAAGACTCATTATTGAAGCCTCAGGGACATCTAGCAGGAAGTATTAATTTCGCAGACATAAGTGTGCGGGCTGGCTGTAAGGTTACTGTTTCTCCTCTTGCTTGGAATCATTTGACCAAATAGGACATGTTATTATCACAGTGTTAGAGATTCAGAGGAATCATTTGATTGAAAGGTCATTTGATGTGCCAAGTCTACCTCTCTGTATCTCCTGCCTCCACAAACTAGTCAAAGTAAGTCATGTATCCAAGGAAAATGTTAAGCCGAGGTGCAAGGAAGATAGTTCACATTGCCTACCAAAAGCTTCAGCAAGAAGGAATACAATCCTATAAGGAAGTTATTACTTCATCCACCATGGAAGTTCCATATTCTTTATCCCTCTTTATTTTTTAACCAATGTCAAATCTCAAGTGATAGAGGCCAAGGTCATACTCCTGCAAACATTCTTTAATTTTAAAGTTAAGCTTCTTTAATTTTTAAAATGACTTCTATTTTTAGGTTTTGTGGCTATCATTCCCCAGGAAAGATGTCACAGAACAAGCAGATACTGGATCTTAAGGGAAAAAATATGGAGGAATCATCCTATTTTCTCATTTCCTGAAAGACTCATCCAGCCTGCACCGGGACAGGTGTGCCCTTCTCTCAATGTCAGAACTGGCTATGAGAAATCACTGAAGTTCTCCAGATCCACAAGAACGCAGAAATCATGTCTCCTAGTCCTACTATTCATTGCTAAAGCAGAAATGGGAGCCAGGGTCCGAGGACAGAAAGATGTCTATTTGTGCATAGTCCTGTACTATGTGGAAGTAGTGCGAGCTACCCTGCACATCCTGAAGTCCATAAAGATGGACTACTACAGCAGGTACTTATAATGTCATCTACTCATTCAGAAGGCTAAGGAAGGAGAACCCAGAGGTTGAAGGCCAGCCTGGGCAACATAGGAATTTCTTTATCTTTTATCTAGAACATTCACAGGGCCTTTCTTGTTACCCTAACCTGAACACATTCTGTTTGTTTATGTGTTTCTAGATAAATGACGATGAATACTTCTAGCTAATGTTTCTTGTACTCAGAAATAAGTATGATAGGATCCTCAGAATGGGTTTGTCAATAAAGGAGTGCACATGAATCTGCTAGGATATGATACCTCACAAAAAATTTTCCAAAGTAAGCACTAAATTCTCAGGTCAGCAGATCTGGCATGGGATGGGTATGTGTGATCTCAAATGGACTCACACAGGTAGCAAGCAGGCAGGCTTTATCAGTTGGTGCAGAGTGACTTTAGCTGGGACAAGTGGGGACCCTCGTCACTGCCTTCTTCCAGAAGCCTAGCCATGGCTTATTTACCCATGTATATCAGGGTTCCAAAAGTTGAGAAATAGGCTCAAAGGACAACTCATTTCTGCCACATCCTGATGCTCAAAGAAAGTCATGGTACCAAAACAAAATGAAGAATGAGAGAGAGACATAATCTGGAAGGAGCTGCAAAGTGTACTGGTCGTTTTTTGTAACCTGTGTCCCAGTTATGCATGGTAAGACTCCATGATGTTATATCTACAGAAGGATGAATGCAGCCGTGCTTACCTTGGGTTTGAGCCCATGCTGTTGGTGACTACTCACAGGTAAGTTAATTAACAACCCTAGACTTTGAGCTCTGAAATGCTGTCAACCAAATTCCTGTCACATTTGTACTTAAGCTGTTGATCTGAACCAAAGTATATCTCTTCTGTTCATGTTTATCTCCACTATTTCATCTAGGCTTGATTCCTCCATGTCAATCTGGTAGCGATATTGTATATATCTTTTCAAATAATTTGCTAAATCCTGAATGCCATTATGAATTGCCCTGCAAATACAGTATAAGTAATAACTTGTTACAATGATCCTTACAACAGTTTAAAAACAGTGATAGCCACACCTCTAATCCTCCTGTTTATTTTATGCTAGTCTGCCCAGTGCTGGATGCACACCTGGACCTTAAGTAGCATACCACATCATCGAGAATGAATCACTACCCTATACACCACAGTTCTGATGTAGTAATCAGTGGCTCTTCAATTCTTTTCTCTTTAGGGGGTGCTGAGCGTACATGGTTTTATGAATACTAGGTAAGAGCTCTCCCACTGAGTTGTGTTGCCAGCCCCCTTTAGGAATAGGAAATATCATACAAAGTTACAAAACAAGGAGCAGATAGAACTATTTTACCTCTAAGAGGGACTTTCCTGAAGTTCATTCTAATATATTTTTTCTGTTGCTTTCCATGCCTGCATCCAAAGTAAATGAATCCTCTTTAGATAAAACATAAATTGGAAAACTGCTCAATAAAACCAATTTTTCAAACTTGGGCAAGCATAACCCTCTATAAGAAGTGCATTTTCCCTTGTTGTCCAGAACATATACCATACTGATAGCTACCACAGCTGTGCCACAGGACCATACTGCCCCAAGTGTTGCTGCCTCTCCTGTTGTCTGTTGCATTTCATTTCATTTTTGGACTGTTGGTCGGTCATGAACTACTAACTTGATTTTACAACCCAATAACCAGGCCATGACCCACAGTTAGAATTCATTAGTCATGATGACCTTATGCCGAAGTCCTTCCATTCGTAAAGTCCAGTGGGAAGTGCTTTTCTAGCTTCTGGATTCTCAGTTTCTTTATCTAAGGGCTGAGAAAGGGTAATGCTGCAAACCACCATAAAGGGTAAGATGTCTTCAAGATGAGACGAAAAGAGGCTGCTCATCAACAGGGATCACAAGACCCCAGAAAGACTGACCAAATAGTGGTTCACACTTGCCAGCAGAGTTTGCTCTAGAGTCACGCTACCTAAGTTGAAATCACCTTTGTGCCAGGTATAGCTCAGGTTAAATGGGTTCACAAGTTAATTTGTCTATGTGTCAATAACTATAACCTTGGAAATTGAGGTCTAATCATTGGTACTCACCCTTCAAGGCCATTAGCAGCAATAAATAAGTATATAGTGAGTATAGAGCCAGGAACACAGGAAACACTCAAGGCTCCCTGGCATTGATAAAAAAAAAAAAAAGAGGACGAGGTTTTATTTGTTTCAAAACAGGGAGTTCAATCTTCAGTGAAATGTGCCATGTTCTTCCCCATATGTCCTATATTTTTTAATCTAGTCATCTTTATTCATTGGGAGGCAAGGTATCTTATAGCCCAAGTTTATCTTAAACTTGTCATGCGATCAAAGGTGACCACAATCTCTTGACCCTCCTTCCTTCCTCTTCCAAAAACTGGGATTGCAAGCCTAATCCGCCATGCCATCTCACATCATATTTTAATAAAGAAATGTAAGTGACATTATTTGCTGTCACCATTTTTATTGTCTTCACTCACTCACATTCTGAGCCTCACAATCCTCAACTGTGAAGAGCAGAAGATTGGCACGGAAAAGTTACTGTGAAGCAATGATGTAAAACACTGATTGTGCTGCAAAGTAAGGGATGAGCAAAAAGAAGAGAGACAGAGAGATGGTGAAAATGTCCCTAACATTATGTGACCAGTTCAGGAGAAATCAAGAGTATTTGGAAAGCAAGAATTTCTGTTTCAACAATACTGAAGAACAACACCAAGTTGTGTATGAAATAGCCAATCAGAGTCAGATCATACTAGTTAACTTAGCTGTGTTGTATGACTCTAACATTCAGGCTCGTGCTTAGAAGACCTAGCAAGACAGGGTCCTGAAGTTTATTACCTATGTGGGTATGTGTGTACATGCATATGTATGAGTGTGAACATACGTACGTGTGAACAGCTGTGTGCATGTGTACACCTGTGTGTGTTTTTGTGTGCACATATGTATATATGTGTGTGCAGAATATTTTTGGCTAAAGAAGTTACTGGGGTTTTTGTTTTGTTTTGTTTTGTTTTTTGGTTTTTTGAGACAGGGTTTCTCTGTAGCTTTGGAGCCTGTCCTGGACTAGCTCTGTAGACCAGGCTGGCTTCGAACTCATAGAGATCTGCCTGCCTCTGCCTGAGTGCTGAGTGCTGAGACTAAAGGCATGCACCACCACCGCCAGGCAGAAGTTACTTCTTATCTGTGTGCCGCACAATGAACTGAAGTTATATAACTAGGACAAGTCCCTATACTCCAGGAACCTGTGACCAATCCATCTCTCTCTTTGTCTCTCCATCTCCCTTCCTTGTTTATTGAGCTCTTACAGTGGAGCAGGCACTGAATAGGGAGGGAGTTGTCTGGGCATCACTTCACCCTATCCTGACCCACATAGCAGCAACTACTCGAAAGCTCTTTATTTCCACTTCCTGCTGGAGACTCCTGAGTTCACCAGCTGTTTAGAGGCAGAGTGAGGCTATAACTTAGGTCTCCTGTTCTACCACCATAGGCTAATAATGGTTGATAATAAAACCATCAGATAGGACATAGCTACCAGCCATGTGGCTGTTGCATGTACACACCCTAACTGCATAGGGCAGTGGCCAGACCTGGGTTTGAATTCTTGCTTAGCACATAATGATTTGAGAGGGGGGGGAGAGAGAATGAGAGAGAGTCAGAAAAGCTGATGACATAATGGTATATTTGGGAAATTAAGTAAGAACACATATAGGCACACAAACCCAAACAATCTCCTTACTTTATAGCTGAGAAAATCAGCACTGCGTGGGAACTCACTGCCTGTGCTCCCCAGGGAGAGACTGACATCAGTAGGACCTCTGGCTTATGACCCCCACCCAGTTCCTTGCTTTTTATGGGATTCCATCCCATGCCATATGTGCAGGCTTTCAAATGGCCCTCCCCAAATCAAAGGAAATGTCTGTTCCCAACCAGGCAAATTCTTGTGAAAGAAGCCAGCACCTCTCATCTGCTTTTCCTCTATCTGCTCACTGAGGTCAAGTGAAGGGCAGGGGATGCTCTGATGACTCGACTTCTGAGTCTCCCAGCCAAGCTTCAAATAAATCAGACTGCCGGCAAGAATTCAGACAGGCTCCTCAAAGTTCCAGGTTTCCTTTTCCTGGTGGAAGCCACCAGCTGTCTTGTTGCTAGGAGACCAGTGTGGATGGAAAGTATAATAGCCATAGTTTTCTAACTTATCTGAAAATGCAGTTCTGCCTTTGCTCCCTTGCTGGTTTGTTTCCTGAGTGGACTGAGGGCGGGTAGGGATGGGAACATAAGCCACTGGGTTGGGGGAGGAGGGATGTAGGGGAAGAGTACTGAAAGAGACTACTGGAAAGGGAAAGGTGCACTTTCCTGGCACAAGGGAATCTACAAGGATGACTCCAGCTAAGACTCCTAGCAATAGTGGATACATAGCCTGAACTGGCCATCTCCTATGACCAGATTGGTACCTAGCCCAATTTTCATCAGAGATGTGTTCTCCAGCAACTGATGGAGTCAAATGCAGACCCACAGCCAAATATTGGGTGGAATTCAGGGAATCCTACAGAAGAAGGGGAGAAAGGATTGTAGGAGCCAGAGGGGTCAAGGACACCACAAAAAAGTTCACAGAATCAACTAACCTGGGTTCATAGGGGCTCACAGAGACTGAACACTCAACCAGAGAGCCTGCATAGGACCTGACCTAGGCACTCTGCCTGTATGTTACAGATGTGTAGCTTGGTCCTCTTGTGTGACTCCTAACAGTGGGAACAGGGGCTGTCTCTGACTTTTTTTTACTAGCTTTTGGGACCCTACCCCTCTTACTGGGTCACCTTGCCCAGCCTTAAAACATGGGGAGGTACTTAGTCTTACTGAAACTTGCTATATCATGTTTTGTTGATATTCATGGAAGGCCTGACCTTTCCTAAACAGAAACAGAGGAGGAGTGGATTGGGGATGGGGGGGTGGAAACAGGGGCGGGGTGAGGGGAGGGACTGGGAGGAGAGGG